TTATTTTTCTACAGAGATAAAAACTTAGACAATTTTGTAAAAGAGGAGAAAGTTGAATGGATCAATCTAGTGTAATGTTTGGAAGAATGCATCAAGATTGGTTAATCAAAATACACATGCAAAGTCGGTGAATCCAGGTCGATACAGATCACCAAGATTTTATAAAGGAACTGACAAAATAAGGACAGGGAAACTACAGAATGTTAATATTTTGCAGCTGAAAAAATGAAGGTCCCTAAAACACTAATGACCACATAGACAAGGTTTCAGTAATGGTGGGACTGCACATGTCCCATTTCTGTTTGACCTGGCAATATGGCCCTCACCATCTGATTATAAATTATAATGAGAGAAAACAGTACAGTCAGCTCTCAGCGCCAGGGATTCAACAAACCTCTGATTGAAAATATTCAGGGAAAAAAATCCCAGTAAGTTCCAAGAAGCAAAACTTAAGTTTGCTGATTGCAGACAACTATTTACATAACACATTGTATGTGGTTTTATAAGTAATCTAGAGATGATTTAAAGTATAAAGGAGGATGTGCCTAGGTTATATGCAAATACTGTGCAATTTTATATATACAGGACTTAAGCATCCGTGGATTTTGAGGTGCTTGGGGGTCCTAGAACTAACTAGTCCACATGGGATACCGAGGGACAACTGTAAATTGTAATTGGAAGTAAAACCAAACTTTTTCCAGCTGCTCTGCCTCGAGGAGGAGTTGGGAGGAAGACTCAGTGCAGCAGAGTGTAAGGTCACAAGAGACTGAATCTGTGCAGGAACTTTGAATACTGCAGACCATGTGGTTTCTCTGCAAGGTGTGCTTGCAGCCAGCTTAGATAATATCAAGTGATTGCACCTGTGTATTCGTTGCACTTGTTCTACCTACCATCTAACTGCTTGTCAGGATTGACGCGCTCTAAAGAGGCTTGGAATTATAGCAGCTGTAGCAGCCCACAGCTTAGCCCATCCTCTGCTGTTCTGTTGACTAGGAGGATTGAGACCACAGGTGGGCTAATGGGACTTTGGGCAAAGTTAATAAGCTAAGCCACAGTAGGACACCAGATGTCGCAGAAATACGTCTTCATTGACAGGCTAGGACAGCTTTTGATTATCTCCAATGGCAAATGCTGAAGAGTAAGAGAGGTACTGAAATTTGATGACAAAAACAGCACTAATAAAATTATGACTGCAGGGTAAAAGTTGAGGCATTTAAGATAAAGATACATCATGTTAGCCCTTAAACAAACGTGTTTACTGTAGGTCAAAAAATCCAAAAGATGTTTTGAACTTAGGTATTTGAACTTAACAAATAAATGAGATTCAAAGTCACTTCTTTTTTGTTATTAACCAACTCTTTCCTCCAAGTTATATACTGAAAAGCCAGAATAGCTCATAAAATTACTTAAATGAATAATGGAATAATGGAAATTATACTTGTCTGTTGCCTGGAATGCAGTCTAACCACATTGTAAGTAATTTCCCTGTGGTTCACTTTCTGCTAGAACAGAGAGCTACATGTCATGTGTTTTAGAAATGCCAGAAGTGTTTTCTGTCAGAATGTTCATAGAAGATTTGAGGTTTTCAGAACAGAACTGAAAGTATTGTGAGCTTGTTTAGTATATAGGGCTTTTGTGTTATTTTTTTTAAACTGTACAATGCGTAGTGTATGTGTACTATATTTTAACATTAAAATTTAAATCATACATTTTGTATTATGTATGTATACTGTATATTATATACAAGGATGTCCATCGACTCTCACCACTCTAGCCACAGGTATCAGAGAAGAAAAAAATTAAAGGAATCCAAATTGGAAAGGAAGAAGTAAAGCTGTCACTGTTTGCAGTTGGCATGATATTATACACAGAGAATCCTAAAGATGCTACGAGAAAACTACTCGAGCTCATCAATGAGTTCAGTAAAGCTGCAGGATACAAAATTAATATTTAAAAATCTGCTGCATTTCCATACACTAACAATAGACCATCAGAAACAGAAGTTAAAGAAACAAATCCCATTTACCATTGCATCAAAAAGAATAAAATACCTAGGAATAAACCTACCTATGGAAGTAAAAGACCTGTACTTGGAAAACTATAAGACACTAATGAAAGAAATTGAACACACAGACAAATGGAGAGATATACCATATTCTTGGATTGGAAGAATTAATATTATTAAAATGATCATACTACTCAAGGCAACACACAGATTCAACATAATCCCTATCAAAATACCAATGGAATATTTTTTCACAGAACTAGAACAAATAATTTTAAAACATATGGAAACACAAAAGACCCCAAATAGCCACAACACTCCTGAGAAAGAAGAACAAACAGGAGGAATCATGCTATCTGGCTTCAGACTATACTACAAAGCTATAATAACCAAAACTGTATGGTCCTGGCACAAAACCAGACACATAGGTCAATGGAACACATAGGTCAGTGGAACAGAATAGAGAGCCTAGAAATAAACCCACACACTTAAGGTTAACTAATCTATGACAAAGGAGGCAAGAATATACAGTGGAGAAAAGATAGTCTCTTCAATAAGTGCTAGGAAAACTGGACAGCTACTTATATAAGAATGAAATTAGTGTTCTCTAACACCATGTATAAAAATAAACTCAAAATGGATTAGATACCCAAATGCACTCTTGGAAGAGTGCATTTGGGTATCTATGCACTATGAAATTCCTAGAGGAAAACAGGCAGAACATGCTGACATAATTTACAGCAATAGTTTTTTGGATCCATCTCCTAAAGCAAGGGGAACAAAAGCAAAAATAAACAAATGGGACCTAATTAAACTTAAAAGCTTTTGCAAAGCAAAGGAAACTATTGATAAAAGGAAAAGACAACCTACTGAATGGGAAAAGATACTTGTAGATGATGTGACTGATAAGCAGTGATATCCAACATATATAAATAGTTCATGAAGTTTAACATTTAAAAAGTCAACAATTGGGGCTTCCCAGGTGGCTCTGTGGTAAAGAATCTGCCTGCCGTGCAGGAGATGCAGGTTTGATCCCTGGGTGGGGAAGATCCCCTGGGGAAGGAAATGGCAACCCACTCCAGTATTCTTGCCTGGGAAATCCCATGGACAACAACAACAAAAAAAAAGCTGGTGGACTACAGTCCATGCAGTTGCAAAAAAAAAAAAAGTCAACAATCTGATTTTAAAAATTGGCAGAAGAACTGAACATTTTCCTAGAGAGGAAATGCGGATTGCCTTCAGGCACATGAAAAGATGTTCATCGTTGCTAATCATCAGGGAAATACAAATTAAAACAACAACGAGATATCACCTCATACCTGTCAGGATGGCTGTCATCAAAAAAAACACAAATAGTGTTGCTGAGGGTGTGGAGAAATAGGAACCCTTCTACACTGTTGGGAATGTAAACTGGTGCAGCCACTGTGGAAAACAGTATAGCAATTTCTCAAAAACTAAAAATAGAACTACCATACGACCCAGCAATTAAACTCCTGAGAATACATCCAAAAAGCAAAAAACACGAATTTAAAAGATGCCTGTACCTCAGTGTTGATAGCAGCATTATTTACAGTTGCCAAGATATGGAAGCAACCTAAGTGTCCATCAACTGATGAATGGATAAAGGAGATGTGTTACATAATGGAATACTATTTGGCCATTAAAAAAGAATGAAAATTTTGCCATTTGGAGTAATAGGGATGGACTTGGAGGACATTTGGCTAAGTGAAATAAGTCAGACAGAGAAAGACAAATACTGTTCTTGTCACTTATGTGTGAAATCTAAAAAAAATATAACAAACTAGTGGATAAAACAAGAAAGAACCAGATTCACAGATATAGGGAGCAAACTAGTGGTTACCAGTGGGGAGAAGGAAAGGGGAGGGGCAACATAAGGTTAACGGATTGAAAAGGAGTTACTATGGGATTATATGATACCATAAGTTGTAAATCACTGTAGAATTTAAAGATCTTTTCATTTAACTTAAAAAAAAAGGAAAACCAGACATCTCAAGTTAACAAATTTAGTACTTTACTGTGTATGGGAAGATGGAAGAACCTGGGCTCATTAACATCATTCCTTTGCTCTGCACCTTAACTAGTAAAAAAAAATTTTCAAGTAAATTGTGCATTATGTATATATGCTATATTTTATCATTTGAAATTTTAAAGTAAGCTGGGAAAATATTTGTAAGAGTTTTGAACAAGGGTTGTTTGAAAAATTCAAACATTGAATGATATTTGAATAAGAATTGTTTACTTTTGAAAGAGCTCTTTTTAAAAAATGCAAAAACAGATAAATCCAGAGACAAAATGAAAAGATTTTGTCTTTAGTCTCATAAGTTAATTCTGGAAATGGCAACCCACTCCAGTACTCTTGCCTGGAGAATCCCATGGACAGAGGAGCCTTGAAGGCTACAGTCCATGGGGTCCCAACGTCAGACATGACTGAGTTACTTTCACTTTCACATCCTAAGGGAAAAAATCGTATATTCATATAAATATTTAAACACATGGATGGGATCCTTGAATTGTATGGAGGGTAGGAAATGATTACTGGACACTTAGTATCAGGCACAATGTACAGTTATATGGCACTTGTCTCTGCCTAAAGATGATTTTTAAAATGTACTAGAAACAAGTGGGTGGTTGTGGGGGTTTGGGGTGGAATGAAGGAAGGGAGCAATGTTAGTGAAATTAATGAAGGTGATTAAGAGGTACAGATCTCCAGTTATACAATAAGTATTGAGGATGCAATATACAGCACAAGGAATATGATCAATTATATTGTAATAACTTTGTATGGGGACAGATGGTCACTAAACTTATTGTGGTGTTTGTTTCATACTGTTTGCAAATGTCAAATTATGTAGCACACCCAAGACTACCATACTACTGTACATCAACTATATTTCATTTTTAAACATTTTTTTAATGAATAAATAATGCACTGGAGAATCACACATCAGTCGCTTTTCAAAGACTTCTTTTCCAGAAAAGAGAACCCATGCAAAAACCATCCAAAATCAGAATGGCTATCGCTTTAGCCAAGATCAACCGAGGAACATTAATTCAAGGATTAAACAGCATTTCCAGATCCTCCAAATCAGTTGCCAAGCTTCTGCAACCTCAGCTTGCTTGCCGACTTTTAGAGTTAAGGGCCATATCTCATCGTTTGCTCAAGGAAGTTAATGCACCAAGGCAACCCCTGTATAACATACAGGTAAGTGAACATTGCATTTGCTCAGGATGTGGGTCTTTTTGTAGGAAATATTCTGAAATTGCACAGTATGAAAAATGAAAATGTAGCACATTTGACTATCCTAGATGTAAAACAGTTAGCTAAGAGAAATGAATGTTTGGGCCTTTTTTCAGTGTAGTATATTCTCTGGTTTAAATAAATCTGAAGTAGGAAGTAATGCAGACTTTTTTCTCCCTTGTTATTCGATTGAACTAAATGAAACTTTTGATTTCAAATGGTTCAACCTAAATCAGTTCAGTTCATTTCAGTCACTCGGTCATGTCCGACTCTTTGTGACCCCATGGACCACAGCACACCAGGCCTCCCTGTCCATCACCAACTCCTGGAGTTTACTCAAACTCATGTCCATTGTGGGCTGCCGTCTATGGGGTCGCACAGAGTCAGACATGACTGAAGCCACTTAGCAGCAGCAGCAGCATGTCCATTGAGTCAGTGATGCCATCCAACCATCTCATCCTCTGTCGTCCCCTATAAGCATGCAAATTATCACATATGTCAAACCTAAAAGAAATTCTACAACAAGCCTTAAAAATGACTGTGCCTTGTGTCCTTGTCCCTATAACTTTGTTATATCTCCAATATAATCTTGGTTTGATATAATGAGTATATTTAGCTATAAATTCATTTTGATAGACGTGTCAATGTTCAGGTCTGTTTCAAATTCCATGTTCTGTGTTGTTTTATTGAGGCTCTATTATATTAAGGCGGAGAAGGCAATGGCACCCCACTCCAGTACTCTTGCCTGGAAAATCCCATGGACGGAGGAGCCTGGTAGGCTGCTGTTCATGGGGTCGTGAAGAGTCAGACATGACTGAGCGACTTCACTTTCACTTTTCACTTTTACGCATTGGAGAAGGAAATGGCAACCCACTCCAGTGTTCTTGCCTGGAGAATCCCAGGGATGTGGTCGCACAGAGTCAGACATGACTGAAGTGACTTAGCAGCAGTATTATATTAAGGACAAAAAAGCTCTAAGTTTTTCTAGACCAGCTTCTTTTTTTCTAAACTTTATGGCACACAACTCTGAGTTTTTCAATCTGGGCATTATTCAAAACATTCCTTTGTTAAAATGCGAGTTAAGCCAGAAAGGGTATGTATTAGTTCTTGTAGTCAAACAACCCAGAGTTGAGAAGCTTTCAGGCATAGCTGGATATAGTACACAATACCTTCAGGAACCTCTTTCTTTCTTTGACTCATCTCTTGGTTCAGGTCTCTCTCTGTTGACTCCATTCTTAGACTGACTTTCTCCTCATGGTCACAAGATGATTTGCAGTTGTTCTCAGGGGCTACATCCTTCCAGGTACAATTACAGCAGAAAAGAATAAGAGTCCTTGATCCAACATTCCTGGCTAAGTCCTGAGGTGCACGTTTAGAGACTGACTTTCCTCTAAACCAAAGAAATGGGGTGCATTGACTGGTCTAGGAATTGACTACTGCGTCATTCCTAGAGTAGGGGTTGCGGCCCCATTCAGACAAAGCCACTTACGGATGGGGAAAGAATGAACCCTCAAACAAAAATGCATTGTTTTGAGATGAGAAAATGGATGATGAGTGGCTAAAATAAACAAAATATTATATAGGAATCTCTCTTTAATCAAAGATTTTTGATATTTCCAGAAAGCATCAGCTATTTCAACTATGAATTGCCTGAAACAGCATTTATAAAAGGCTCCTTTATAATATCAGAAGTTTGAGAAAGTAAAAAATGGTTTCTGTTTTGTTGACCATCAGATTTCTAAGCACTATAAGGCTTATTCCTGTGTCTTTAGATCCTCGGGAAAAAACATAGCTGAACGGTATTAAATTCCCACTGAAATATCTTCCTGAATCTAATGTTTTGCCTTGCTCTTTGCTTGCATTGCTAGACCCACAGTTCCTACAGAGTTGATATAAGAACTGTTCTTTGCAGAATATTGCTGTATTTATTATGAAATAATGTTTAAAGACACTGTCCATTATTGTTATTCAAAGTCTTTTCTCCTCCTCTTTGCTAAGTTAAACTATGAAGAAGCTGAGATTTTACTCTATTTACTAGGTAATGAGTTAGTGTGCCATATCTCCATCATGGAGAGGAACCTTGAAATCAAGAGATTCATCTTTTTATAGGAATGCTGGCTCATCTGCTGAGAGAGAGAGAGAGAGAGAGAGAGAGAGAGAGAAGCATATGTCTCTGGAGAGGAAGGAAAAGGCTTTCTCTTTAGTGCCCTGCGTCATGTCTTGAGAAGTACATCGCTAGATCTTTCCAAAGGAACATACCTTTTCTAGCTGCCAAAGTTGTTTGCTATTCAACCATATCCTTTGCTCAGAAGGCCCAATCTGTACAGGAATGAGAGACATTCATGGAGAATTGTCTCCCAGTACTCATGAGAATTCAAGGGCAGAAAAAAAGCTTCTGTTTCCAGTGGAATTGGGGTTTCCTTCTATCCAGTGAAGAGAACGATATCGAATGGATCCTTTACCACTGAGCCGCCTGGAGAGACCGAAGCACTGAGTGTGTCTGCGCTCGGTCGCTCAGTCATGTCTGACTCTTTGCAGCCCCGTGGACTGGATGTAGCCTGCCAGGCGCCTGTGTCTCCTCCAACGAGGAGGCTGCCATTTCCTCCTCTTCCCCACCTAGGAATTGAACTTGCGTCTCTTGCGTCTCCTGCATGGGCAGGCGCTACCACTAGAACTACCTAGGAAGCCCACAGCTATGGTACTATGGCTTATTATTTTAACCTCTTCGTGGTATTCCATCACAAGAAACAAGAATCCACAGTTTATCTATTACTGGACAGATGGACAGTTTAGTTTCCAATTTTTTTACATTGCAAAACAGTGCTTCAGTGAACACTCTTGTAACTGAGTCCATGTCCGTACATTGAGACATTTCTCCAGGACTGCTGCGTCATGAGGAATGAACAGCTTCAATTTTATTAGCTGTTATCAAAATGCTTCCCAAGTGGCGCTAGTGGTAAAGAACCCGCTTGCCAGTGTAGGAGACATGCGTTCGATCCCTTGGTCGGGAAGAGCCCCTGGAGAAGGGCATGGCAACCCCCTCCAGTATTCTTGCCTGGAGAATCCCATGGACAGAGGAGCCTGGTGGGCTACAGTCCGCAGGGTCACAAAGAGCCGGACACAACTGAAGCAACTTAGCACGTGCACACACAGTCTTGGAAGCCTTTGTGATTCTTTAATCTGAGGATAATTTCTTCAATTCTGGAAAACTTTCAGCCATTATGTCTTCAAATATTGCCTCCTCATTTTCTCTAATCTCATTCCAGAACGCCTACTAAACACACTTTTGAATCTTCTCATTTTAGTCTTTATGTCCATTTACCTTTCTTGTATTATCCTTTATCTCTTTTTGATACATCTGAATAATTTCCTCTGATTTGTCTTCCAGTTAACCAACTCTCTCCAGCTCTAATATGCTCTTTTACTTATTAAATGTATTTTTAAGTTCCAGACATTATATTTATCATTTCTAGAAGTTCTGTAATATTTGGTGTTTCCCCCAAATTTGTACTTTTTAAAAAGCATCCTTTTATAGAATTATTTCTTTTTAATAACCACTTTAATTTAAACATATTATTTATGATCTTTTTAAAGATTATTATTTATGATCTTTTTAAAGATTATTCTTTGAGATTTAGGGGGATTGCTAATCTTTCTGTCTATTGTGATCTATGTTGTGTCTACTCATCATTTTGTTTCAATTGAAAATTTTTCTTCAGTAAGACTTTTTTAAAAATAGAAATACCTTCTGGCCTTGGGGATACAACAGTTTCTCTGGAGAATTTTGCTTGTGCTCTGGAGGGGTCAGTCCCTGGAGGGGATCTGCTTTCTCACCTTTTTGGTCTGGCGGGTGCAGTTTTTCTAGTCCCCCATTGCAGCTCTACAAAGGACTGACCTCACCTCATGCGAATCCAAGTCTCATCTTCATTCTGTTTATTAAAACTTAAGCCCTCAGTCCTTATTTCAGGATCCAGTAACATCCCCATTCCTGAGACGTAAGATCACACACTTACTGCTTGGCTTTTAGTTCCTGACATGGGAAGATTTATCCCTTCCTTCCTCCTCCTCTTTCATGTTCTATAAACTCAGCCTGGTATTACATTTTTTGATTTTGATTTACATAGAAATAAACTCAGCCTGGTATTACATTTTTTTATTTTGATTTACATAGAATTTATAGGGGTTTTTTTGGTGAGAGGTTCCCCACTGGCTCAGTCTGCCACATTGCTGGAACCAGGTGTCCTTCAGGTTTACTTCTTAATATCTTTTACAGATTGTAAGATGGTTAACTTTCTTTTTGGAAGTGAAATGTAATTCTACCCTTTTTCACTCACTATGGACTATAGGGATGATGGGCAAGTAAGCCGTGACCACTGGGTGTGCTGAGTGCATGATGAAAGTGTGCGAAGTGGACTATGGAGGCAACAACAAGGGGGAAATAATTCCTAAGAGTAGTCGGTGTAGTCTCCCTAGAAGATGATACTGGATCTGAGCCTAGGAGGAAGGGAAATTATCCCAGTGAAGAAGTAGGAGAATTGTTTGTGAAAGAGGACAATGTATATTAAGAACCTGAGGCAAGAGCATGACTTACGTAGGAAATGTAAGTAGTTCCACATGGCTGAAGTGAGACAAGTGGGAACAGTCCCAGGTCAGAGCTGCTGGGGTCCTCGAGGGTTAGGAGTGAGGAGGAAGCTTTTCGAGGGTAATGTGCATTAGCTAGGGTGGAAATTCAGAATTGCCACTGAAAGGAACTGAAATTGTAGCAAGGAAGAAAACATATATCAAATCTGAAAGTCTCAGTGAGGATAGACGTAGAAGCGTGAGTAGTGAAGTTTAGTGGCCTGGAGAATCCAAGGAGCAGCAGAGTAACGTGTGAGGTATGGTGGAGGTCAGCGGGTTGGTCTGTGAATGGAATGTATCCATGGAACCAGACTGTGCCTAGAGGTCAATGGCATATCAGAGTTCAGCTTACCCAGAGTGGACTCCAGCCTGAATTCCTTCAAGAATGGTCAGGCTGCCTGTGTCAAGATGGAACTCTGTGGTGTGTGAAAATAAAAGGAGTGAAATGTGGAGAGCTGGGGTCAGGCCTGTCCAGCTGGCCGTCTTGTTGAGAGACTTCCTTGGCACCTGGCTCTGTGGGTCCCCAAACCGTTCCTTGTCGTGCAGGGCTGAGGTTAGTGATATACCTGCTTCTTCTACAGGGGGCCTTAGGAACGGAAAACTGAGAGTTTCTTGGTGATTTTCAGTGTCCCCAGCAACAATACTTACAGAATGCTATATCTGCTTAGCCTTGGAAGCTGCCTGCCCAAGTGAAGCCTGCAGCTGCTCTAGGCTGCAGTGACCTACATAATCAGCTTGGATGTTGACTTCAGCCAAGACACGTCAGCTCCCAGACACATTTGCTGACTTTGGCACCCCAGCGCAGGGCCACAGGACCAGAAGCTATGTCTATGATAGAATCTTCTGTATAGTGACTTTAGAGGTGTTTGCTTCTACTTTGGACACATTCTCTGGAGTGGTGTAGTCAAGAGATGGGCAAACTAACTCTTAGCCTCAGGAGTGCCTGTGGCATAAGTGGACCCCAGGGGAGTGTTGCTCCTTTTTTCAAGATGAAGAATCACAGAGGCTTACCTAAGTAAAGTTTCTTCCTCGCCCTCAACCCTCCAAGGTAGACTCCAGTTTGGGGTTTGTAAACCTCATAAATAGCAGGAACTTCTTTACTTCCTTGAAGGGCTTGCCATGAGTCTATCTTGGGTGGTGTAATTCAAGACTCGGTGGGGGGAAAAGGACAATTCCTGGAAAGCAGAAGTTTTGGAATCTTGAAGACATAGTTTGGCAGGTTGGCCAAGAAGGTGAGACATTTGAGCTTTTATAGGACCACCCAAATTAAGAGCTCATTCAAGGGTAATGCTCCACAGGCTGTTAATACTGGCGCACTGTTGTTTAATCATTAAGTCGTGTTCCATTCTTTCACGACCCCATGGACTGTAGCCCACCAGTCTCCTCTGTCCATGGGATTTTCCAGGCAAGAATACTGGAGTGGGTTGCCATTTCCTCCTCCAGGGGATCTTCCTAACCCAGAGATTGACTCCATCTCTTAGATTGCAGGTGGATTCTTTACCACTGAGCTATCTGGGAAGCCCCAATACTGGGATAAACATAGTCAAAGCTTTCTTTCCTGTGGATTGCTAGGAGTCTTCCCTGCATTCATGAGTATTGTGGGTTGCTAAGCAAAGTCATGATCAAGTAGCTTTTCCAAACTTAAAGGAAACACTTTTTTCTGGACCTGTAAAAGCAGTATTTCTTCCAACACTTATTTGTGAATCACTGAGAAAGAGTTTCCCCTATAACTCCTTTGATATTTTATCAAGATGGTTTTGGACAATATAGATTAAGTTGGACCTGGTAATTCTCCAACCTTCAGGTTATCTGTAAGTATATCCCTGTTTTCTAAGCTGCTTATAGTCTGCTTTTTTGTGTGATTTATCTCATTGTTAGTGAAAATAAGATGAATATAGACACTTCTTCCATGAGACAAGGCAGTCAAAATTATATGGGAGATGTAGAACAGGAAATTATGTGGGAGAAATTTAAAACTGAAATGTTTTTACTTGTTGAAATATCCATATATCTTATATGTTAATATTACCAAATTCAAAAAGGAAATATATGGATATAATAGTGATATCACAATACTTTTAAATGCAAATGAAATAAAAATCATGTAACAACAAGGTTAAGATAAAATTTTTGAAACCAGCCAAGACAGTCTAGACAAAGCCTCCCTTTTCCCAAATTTCTCCAGTTTGTTTATCTCAGTTTTTTCCATATACTATTCCTGCCCATAGCAAACCAAAAATGAAACAGTGTGGTTTATAATATGAAAAACATGTATTGCAAGTGAGTCATAAAATGGAAAAATGGCTACTTAGCCAGTAGCCACATAAATTTTGCAGGATATGTATTTTTACAGGGGTGATTTATTATAGTAACAGCAAATATTTATTAAAAGCATTAAAATGGTAAAAAAGTGACCCCCAGGCAATATACAGATTTGTCATTCAGAAGCATAACATATATCAAATACATATTTATTTCTAACTAATCCATTTTAATTACTTTTAGGTGAAGGACAAAAATCTGAAAAAGAAAGATGCAGTGAAACAGAAACAGTAATTTTCCTTGCATGCACACCCCATTTTTATTTTTATTGTATATGACCTACCAATTATTGGACCTTCCATTACATCCATATATTCACAAACTCATGAATATTTTACTCTACTACGAGGCATTCTGTTGGCGTGTATCTGATTTCCTTCCTAACATCTGCTCCCTACTTACAGAGTTTGTCTCCTTTAGCCTAATAGTGGGATTCAAAGGCATGGTATCAATCTGAGTCTTTCAGTAAGAGTGAAAGAGTAGCAGCAGCTTCATTTCCTGGAAGCACTTCCCAGAAGCCAGGAAGTCTGGGAAGTTTTCCAGACTGACATATGGAGAGAGTGGGCTAAAACTGCCCACTGTGTGTAGGAGCTAGTACGGCCTGAAGGGTGGAGGTAAGAAGGAAAACGCCCCTCCCTTGTCCCTCTTCACTCCACCATCTCTCAGCTACTATGCTAGATAGCATTGTTGGCTTCAGCTTTCCATACATCGCTTGAGAGGAGAAGGGAGATTGTGATGGACACCTTTGTTCTTCCATAAGGACAGCAGTAAGCAAAAACTGAGTATAATAAGCACTTAGAGCAGGACCTGGGAAACAGCGCCATATAAGTGTCCGCTCAATAAAATGCTACCACGTGTTCTTCAGAGGCACCATTTAAAAGGCTGCAGCATTACTATTGGGTGGATACACATAATTTACCTAGCCATTCTGCTACCATTGTTTCAGTTTTTCAGTGTTATAACCCTTTAATCCAACCAGTCCATCTAAAGGAGATCAGTCCTGAAGGTTCATTGGAAGGACTGACGTTGAAGCTGAAACTCCAATACTTGGGCCACCTGATGCAAAGAACCAACTCATTGGAAAAGACCCTGATGCTGGGAAAGATTGAAGGCGGGAGGAGAAGGGGACGACAGAGGATGAGATGGTTGGATGGCATCACCGACTCAATGGACATGAGTTTGAGTAAACTCCGGGAGTTGGTGATGGACAGGGAGGCCTGATGTGCTGCAGTCCATGGGGTCGCAAAGAGTCAGACACGACTGAGCGACTGAACTGAACTGAACCTTTTAATGATCATATATATATGTATATACCGTTCTCATTTGTGTGCAATTTTATGGTATTCTTGCCTGGAAAATGCCATGGGCGGAGGAGCCTGGCAGGCTACATACAGTTCATGGGGTTGCAAAGAGTTGAACATGACTGAGCCCCTTCACTTCATTGTGCATTTACATGATTTTATATTTACATCCTATACCTTTGGGGAGTTTTTGAAGCCTCTGAGTGACTTGGCTCTTCAGAGAAGTATGACTAACTGCCCCTTCACTGCTAAAGGGGAAGGGAATGTTCTTCCTAATGTCATCATTTCACATCCTTATAGCTCAAAGCCACAGAGGTGGCCTAGTATAAGAGTTACAGTTCCCTTAAACTGAATATATTGTAGTGAGGCAGGGACACATTCTAGAAGCAAGAAAAATCTGAGAGACAAACTATTAGTGTAAACCTCTACATTTCAAAAAGCATGCTGGATATGAGCGCAAAGTATTTGCTGAGGCTTAATGATCATCTAAGATTAACGCTGGCCTTCAGCAGGCTCATGATTAACATTTCCAGGCAGGTCATTAATCTCCAGGAAATGCCCAGTATTTTCATTGCTGTTTGCTTAATTGAAGAGGTGAATAATTTAGTAAAGGATGACTCCATGAATTTCAACAAAGACTGTTTTTCTAATAAGCACAGCAGCACCCCCTAGTGAGCGCACTTGGTAAACGTCAAAAACTAAAAATCAGATTTTGGAAATGGGAGATTTTTTTTTAATAGATTTGTCATAGGTTTTAATTAGCAAAAGAAAGTATCTTTTTGTAAAGGAGGAAGACATTATATTTTCAAAGTGTGAGAAAACTCAGATCTAAAGTAGATGACTATCAATATTTGAATTCTCATTTTACAATAACATTGTAAGATTTAACATTGTAACATTGAAAATTTTTTGTTTTAATAAGAAAATTCATTTGTTTTTTCAGGTCAGAAAGGGATCTTTGTTTGAAATAATTTCTTTCCCAGCAAAGACTGCTTTAACTAGCATAATGTGCGCTTCATATGCAGCACTCATTTATTTGGTAAGTTAAGAAAATAATTAGAATCTGGACATATAATTATTTTATGTAAAGAAATACTGTATAGTCTATTCTTAAACCAAGATATTATTCTCTTATTACACAAAATAATTTTACATTAAAAATTACATTTCTAAGGAGCCAGGTCAATTCACCAAAGACTAAGTTGCTTAAGTAATAAAACTTATTTTACTTTTTAAAAAATTTATTACTATTTGGTCAAAACATTTTGGTTCTGCTTTCATTAGCTTACAGGTGTTTTGTTTCTGCCATTGTGCCATGGTTGGTTAAAGTTCAGCTTTTGTTTTTTGAATTACAAAAGTGTTCATTAAAAAGTATGACAAAAATATACAGACTATTATAAATTATAAAGTTATTTTCTTTTAATTCATTGCCATTTATATTTACCTTTAATTGAAAATAATTACAACATAAAGAAAAGTACACAGCTTGATGAATTATCAGAAAATCTATTAATTGATGTATCATATGGATCAAGAAACAAAACATTATACTATCATTCTAGAAGCCTCTTTCTTGCCTCCTTATGATCACTAACCTCTTCTGTAAAGGCAAGCACTATTCTGACTTCTAATGGCATAGTCAGTTTTGACTTGTATATAAATGAAATCGTATACTATGTTCTTCTGGAGGTCTTGTATTGCTCAACATTATCATTGTGAGATTCATTTGTTGCCTAGAGCAGGAGCTTGTTGACTGTCACTGCTATACAGTATTCCACTGATTAAATATACAACTATCTGTTCTATTGTTGAATATTTAGATTAGTTAGAACTTTGGCTATCGTGAATAGGTTGCTGTGAATGTTCTTGTACATATGTTTGGGTGAAATGTCTGGACTGTAAGACTTTGCATATGTTTGTCTCTAGTAAATATTGCCAAAGTTTTCCAAAATGTTTTAACAGTTCATTCTAGCAGATTATGAATCCCAGTTGCTCTGTATCATCACTAACATTTGGTATTATCAATCTTTTCTGGTATAGCCATTTTTGTGGGTATGTAGTACTATCATATTGTTTTTAATTTGCATTTTATTGATTATTAAGACTGAATACCTTTTTTATACATTAATTGGATATCCTCTTTTGTTAATTTCTGTTAGTCTCTTCTCATTTTCCTACTTGGAGTTGTCCATTGGTTTATTATCAATTTGTACTTTTAACTGTATTATTGGAACAAGACCTTTTTTCGGTTGAATCTGGGCAGATTTATTTTACTCTGTGACTAGCCTTTCATTTTTAGGAGTGCCTTTTAAAACAGAAGTTCTTAATTTTAATGAAGTCTCATTTATTAATCTTCTTTATATTAAGTGCTTTTTATGTCTTAATTAGGGAATCTTGACTTACATCCTAGTCATGAAACTGCTCCCTCTGATAAATCCTGGGAGCTTTGTTATTTTGCCTTTCACTGTTAGAGTTATAACACATCTGGAGTTGGTATGAGGCAAGGGTCATATTTCCCCTCCGTGGGCATCTCATTGTGCTGTGCTGTGCTTACTCGCTCAGTTGTGTCCGACTCTCTGCAACCTTGGACTGCAGCCCGCTAGGCTCCTCTGTCCACGAGGATGTTCCAGGCAAGAATTACTGGAGTGGGCTGCCATGCCCTCCTCCAGGGTATCCTCCCAACCCAGGGATTGAACCCAGGTCTCCTGCACTGCAGGTGGATTCTTTACCATCTGAGCCACCAGGGACGCCCAGTTGATCCAACTCAATTTATCAGGGAAAAAAGTAAACCTCTTTCCTATTGCCCCAGAACACCTTTTTTAAGATAAATTAAATGTCCTTATATATGTAGGTCTGTTTATATTCTCTTTGTTCTAGTCAACTATCTGTCTATTCTTATACCAACTCAACACTGTATTATTTACTGGCGCTTTACATTAAGTCTTCATAACTGGTAAAATAGGTTCTCCTTCCAATCTATGAACGTGGTATATTTCTCTATCTATTTAGATCTTCTTTCTGTTAATAAATTTATGGCTTTTTTGTTAGAGGTCTTTTACCTATTTATTTTTTTGATCATATTGAAAGAGACAAGAATAAAGGTTAAATTTTCCTAATAATCCACAGATTCAGTGCAATCCCAATTAAAATTTGAGCAGGTGTGTATGTGTATATTGACTAGTTTATTCTAAAATTTACAAGGAAATGCCAAAGGTAAAGAATAGCCAAGACAACTTAGAAAAAAAAGTGTAAAAGGACTCATTTTAAACATATTTACAATTTTTAAAAACTCTGAATTTATCAAATATTTTGCAAATGCTTTAAAATTTTGAGAAATGTTCAGTATCTTAAATGCGAATCTCATACAAGATTGATGCAAATATACTGCAGAAAATGAGTGGGATGACATGGCTATGGTGAAACTAAAACAAACTAGATTAAAACCACAATTACTTGAATTTTTCAAAGGTTTTTGAAATCATCCTATATGACTTATGCTATAAACTAAGAAACAATTTTTTTGGTGACCTCTGATAATTGGTGATATATTCATCCAAGTCCTAGGAGAGGTCAGGGCTAGAATTATGGTTTTGAAAGCAAATAACATCTATGTTGGAAGTTAATGCCCTGAGGGTAGAACCATGCCAAGTGAAAAGAGTAGAACGTTGGCAGAAATGTGAAGAACACTTTCTGTTTAACATAAGCTAAGAAGAAATCCACGAAGGAGACAGAGGACCAATAATAAGAAAAGCAGGAAGAGAATCAGGAGAAATGCGGTCAAGGAATTAGAGTCTCAGTAAGTTGTGAGTGGTTAAGAGTCACATACAAGCAGAAAAACTCAAGTAAAATGAAGATCTGAAAAGTGTCCATTAGATATAGTAGTAAAGATGTTGGAATTAATTATCTTGAGAACTACTTTAGCAGAGGCCCTGGGTTCTGAGTTTTCCTGAGTGAAAAGGAGATGATAAAATGGAAACCATGGATGTATGTCCTGGTTTGATCAAGAAGAGTGTGTAGTAGAAAAGAGGGAAACAGGGCCACAGGGATTTTAAATTCTTAAATTTCAGGATAGAAGATACTTTTAGTATGTTACAGGTTGCAGGGGAGGAGCTAGTCAAGAATGAGAGGTTGAAGAGGCAGGCAATAATTGATAGGCAAACTGATAGGTAGGGTATAGGTTACAAGCAAAGATGGAGAAATACTGACCTTGATCAAGATCTTTCATTTTCTGAGACTTGGACAGAATTGGTTAGGGTGGGCACAGATAAAATGTTATGTGAGGAAGAAGAAATGCATCAAATAGGATAGGGCTTCCCAACCTTCTTTTTGTAGCATGGCATACATAGAAAATGATCATAGTTGTGATAAATGGTTAAAGCTGTCTGTAGCTGGAAGTGATGGACTTCAAGATTTATAACTCTAGACTTGGGTGTACTCAGATACAAGTAACAAAAAAAAATGCCTGATAGTACCTTAATCAATACAGATATTTAACTATCTCACTTAATTAGAAGTCCAGAGTCAGGCAGTTCCTGGGTTTGTATAGTGGATCTAGAGTGTCATCACAAACCCAGGGCCTCTCCATCTTCCTCTCCCACTATCCTGTTGGTTGGTTTTGGTTCTTAGGTTTGCTGCCTTATGCTCATACCTTACATCTGTATCAGTGTCCAAAGCAAGGAGGAGAGAAGAGGCAAAAGACAGAGTCTTTCTTCTATATAAAAAGGAGGAAACACTTTCCTCCAAATCCTTCCCATCTTCCTCCCCAGCAGACAAATTTTATTACGTTGGCCAAGGGATCACATTGCCAGACGGTAACGCCGGGAAGTGAAGGGAAGCATCTGGTGTCCCCAGTCTGAGGGGGGAGACAGGCAAAGAAAAGAGGAGGCAGGAGGTCAGGAGGAATGGGCTGGTCAAGCCGAGGCCTGCCCTCCTTCCTGTTCCTCTCTTTAGGAACATCTGAGCATTTGTCGCCTGTTATGTCACCTTGAAGGCATCATCGCTTTGGTAAAAGAAGCTAGTTTAGGTGTTCTTGTATTTTACAGATTTTATTATTCTTGTTGCTTGCCTTAAATGCTTGGCAGCATCATTTCCATCAGTAAACTTATAGGTTTAACAGATACAGCTCTTGGTGATTCTCGATTTTTAAAGTTATTTTTTTTTAATCTGTGTTTCGTTTTGACGCCCTTAAAGTAGTGAATGGCATTTTTGAGGGAAAGTGGATCACAAGTTTGTTTAGAAATTGTTGATTCATTAATTTACTAAATTCTTACCAAAATATTTATGCCCTTCCAATGGAAGATAATTGGTATAAACAAAGTCTATATGGGAAAAAAGTAAAAACAGAAAACCTACTTTGAGATATTAACATGTTTGAGGATAAATTCCATCTCTGAGAAAATGTTTAATTAAGTCAGGAGAATAAAGGAATGTTTCATTTAATTAGAGAATAAAGAGGTAAAACATGAATTAGAGATGTGAAGCATATTTTTATTAAAGCATACTATGTTTTAATTTTCCTTCTAGATTATGGTATATTTATAATTAGGAATCAGCCTCTTCATGCTTATCATGTGCCAGAGGAAGCTGAAAGAAAGCACCTCTTTGTTAGAATATACAGATCAATGATTTTATGTTAAATGTTTTATTGCATTATTGGATTTTTATCTATTAAGTTTAGTAGTATAAAGCAATTATACTCCAATAATAAAGAAACCTTACCTTTTTAAAAATTATTAGACAGTCTGTGTTAATGCTGTGCTGGAGAAGATAATAAAAATTTTCCAAGAAGAAGAATCCATAAGGCAAAACAGAGAGGAGAGTGAAAATTTTAGAAATGCCTTTTCGGAGCCTGTGCTTTCTGAGCCTCTGTTTCCCGAAGGTGAAATCAAAGCAAGACCTTACAGGTCATTACCAGAGAAGCCAGACAGTATTTCTGATCGCCCCAAACTTCCTGCTAATAAGTTGAGTAATAAGATTCAGGTTTTACATTCTGTGTTTGACCAATCAACTGGAATGAATGAATGAACAAATCTGAACTTAAATATCACTGAACAGAGCTTAAGCATTATCTAATGACATAATTAGGAAACTAGTTTTTATGTTCTGACTGCTCTGCTTTGGAAAAAAATGGGGGTGGGGGATGGACCATTGTTAAAATGTCATTCTCAAGTATGTATATGGTAGAGAAAATAAAATGAATCAATGTTGACTATGTGATATTTTTTAATGAACAAGAAAATGTACCCTTTGGTGAGTTAGACTCTATGCGATGGTTTATAATATGGACATGTTTATAATACATTTATGTTTGTATTAAAGTCTTGTTTAGAGTATCTTTCCAACTATTTATCTGGGAGGGAAAAAACCCTCCCTATTAAAATGCTACATATCTGTTTCAGAGATAATAAAAGGATATATATACATTTTCTATCTACAGGCTGCATAGTTTGAGTTTTTCTATTATCGGTTATTTTAAAACTCATCTATAAAGTTATGAAGAACTTGAAATTCATAGATGTAAACTTATATTGTTTACAAATCTGATGAGATGTCTGTATATGAGAGTGACATGACATTTTTATTTCCCCGTCGAGAGGGACAAATTAAAAATGAAGTCCACATTACTCATTGTTGCCACTGGACCCTCAGGAAAAAACGCTTCTGTGATTGGTCCCACAGACCAGGGTTATGGTTTTTGCCTGCTGGAGGCACTTTGGTTTCATCCATGCATTTTAAATTCTGGACATGTGTTAAGTTATTGGAGGATCAGCACCTGATATAATAGACTGGGAGGTACCCATTCCAGAGATGGTACATTTTCTGTACCTCATGGGTAACTGCTGCTGTTAACAGTGTTTATAAAAAACACAGGCCTGGCTCAGTAGTAGTCTAAGGAAAGCAAGTGTTGGAATATGGGTAGCATGTAGCAATATATCAGAAAAAATATAATACATAGCAAAAGGCTCTGTAAGCACAGCCTTAATGATACCTATTTTATTCACTTATTATTTTTACAATAGCCAAGAGAAAGGATCCAACTGTTAGAATACTAAGCCTTAATTCAGCCCTGTGTCACTAAGATTACCGTGTTTGAGATTAAGTTCCACTGTTGACAAAAAGCTTTTTTCATTCTGAATTCATAATCTGTTCCTCATAGTTCTTTCTGGTCCCACTTATTCTTATATTCTACTATGTGCTACTGAGTCTTAGATGATCAGTACCCAGAGATTTATAGTACAGCGTGGGCACGAGGCAACCAGAAAAGTGATGGCCATAAATAACTGGCGTGGAGAAAGCAGGGTGAACTAACTTAACATCTGCCTACGAACTCAGAAGAAAAGACTCTGAGGAACACCCCTATATCTCTTCTCTCTGTGACATTTATATGACACTTGGTTGTACATATATGTGCAAAATTCTATACAAATAAAATTTTTTTTAAAAATGTTATTTAGAAATTTCATTTGGCATTCAGAGCCCTTTGGCTCACTGAGCAGATGTCACATCTCTCATGGCTAGCAGCAACTGTCTCTTCTTTACTTTCAAACTGTGTACCATGACCTGAGAGAAACTGAGCTAAAGTTTATTGGTTTCAATGTCAGGCAAGTTGTTTCTTGTTTTTAAATTCAGCATGTACACTGATCCCATTCTGGGAAGTATTTTTCAAGTGTAAAAGGTCTGCTATTTATTTGGAAACACTGAATAGTTAAAACTTAAGTATTTCAATGTGTTTACATTTTACCTTAAAAAAATTGTAATAACCATCAATAGGTGGGGTGGTGAACGCATGCAAAAATGAAACAAGAATAGAAGAATGCTGGTAACTGTTGAAGGTGGGTGCTGGGAGTTTATTATTCTCTTCACTTTGTATACATTAAAATTTTTCCATGATAAAGTTTACTATATCAAGTAGGGATTTTCCCCCTTAATTTTTCTTAGTAGATCTTTTTTTTTAACCTTTTCTTCACTCTGGTTACTCCAAATTATTTTTATCCTTCTTCAAATGCACATTTCAAACCTATAACCTTAAGGTTCCAATCAATCCAGAGGATTGGCTGAAACACTCTATAGATCCCAATGATGATCCTTACATCATATTAAGTACATGTGCTTTTGAACCTTTCATAAATATGACTGTTAAAGATGATAAATGTGCTTGTGTTGGAAAAAGTTAGTCATCTTTGGTACTTAGCAAGGTTATTCTAAAAATACTTTCGAAACATACACAACATTTTTCATTGCCATGAAATTTTATCAGAAGGAACTTGGAATTACTTTGAAGACTCCAGTGGCATAAAAGTCAGAGTCACACTTAAAAGGCTCATTAGAGAGAGTCACATAAATATTCCCATTGTCCACTGTCACTGTGTGAATCCTTTGCTTTATTCCTTTGGAGCACCACATGGGTTTTGCTGATGGGTCTTTAGGATTTATAGACTGATACAGTCCTTCTCCTGTTTCCAAAGTAATTTTGTACTTATGCCAGGGGCAAACTATACATGCTCGTCCATCAAATTCCTGGAGAAAGAAATAATTGATTTTATAATATGACATTTCCAATGTTGACAATAAATCTCAGACTCAGAACAGAATTTACTGCAGAAGAACCAGGCTGCAAAACAGGCTTCTCTTTTTTCCTCCCATTTACAAATTATTCAGTATAAGGCAGAACATAATCTTAGCAGTCATCAAGTTCTTCTGCAGTTGATAAGAAACCCAGTGTGTTAGAGCTCTATCAGAAGATAACCAGCCCAGGCAACTGTCCCATGTGACCCCAGTATGCTGTTATCTGTTAGATATTAATGTCACTTCCATGACAGAAATGGGGCAAGGGCTTCAAGTGCTTCTAAATGAATCTTCGCTAGCTGGTGGAAGAATGGTAAGTCTCAGATATAATTTCAAGAGAGGTTACTAAAGGTATAAGTGTATATGTTAACTAAAGAACAATTTATGATCCAAAGTAGTTCATTTCAAACTTTTAGCTGTCCTAAAGCAGTGCTTCTAAAACTTTAAAGGACATGGGCTTTACTCATGATCTTGTTTAAGTGGAGCTCTTGTTTAAGTTCAGTAGTCCCAGAACAGGATGCAATATTTGCATTTCACGACACTCCCAGGTGTCACCAATGTTGTTGGTCTGTGAACCACACTTTGGGCAGCAAGGTTTTATAGCTCTCACGATGGTCTGAAACTGAGGGAAGTTCTTCCACTCTATCATCCAGATGCTGACATTTTTATCTCCACACGAAAAGTGCAGAAGTGCTGTTCCATACCACCTCCCCGGCCAGAACTGTCAGCAAACATTTTCATGATTCATAAGTTCATGTTCATAATTTAAACACACATCTTTTAACATGAGGACAGTTGTGGAAGTAGGTAGATATGAGTGGTATAGACAGTGTAACACTGAATTTAAGCATGTACTTTGTGCTAGTCAGAGACAGACACAGGGAAGGGAGAGCGAGATCAGTTTCATGAGGTAGAAAAGAAATCGGGCAGCTAGTTTGGGAATGCAAGGAAGTAAAACAGTGCCCCCATCCTGCCTCAGTTAAGTCTTCAAAGTGTTCTTTCTTTCTTAAAATATATATACTGATATTTGTATTATATCATAAAAGTAATATATACACATGGGAAAAATTCAAATTATGTAGAATTATAAAAAGTAAATATATATTTTTTGAAATGGGATCTTTTTAGACCTATTATTCTTTGACTTGCTTTTTTCCACTCAAAAATATACTGTTGACGTTCATGCCTCATTGACTTACTGGCTGTATACTATTCCACAGGCTTCCCTGGGGGCTCAGATGGTAAAGAATATGCCTGCAATGTGGGAGAGCGTGGTTCAATCCTTGGGTTGGGAAGATCCCCTGGAGGAGGGCACAGTAGCCCACTCCAGTATTCACGCCTGGAGAATCCCCATGGACAGAGGAGCCTGGTGGGCTACAGCCCATGGGCTCACAAACAGTCGGACACGACCGAGCGACTAAGCACAGCACAGCACACTATTCCACAGCGTGGGGAGTCCTAATTTAAACTGTTTGCTCTTGTTACACATTTAAATTTCCTTCACTTTTTCATTACAATGAATAATACCACAATGAACTTCTTAAGTATGTACTTAACAAATGTTTAAGTGTATATATAGTTACATATACAGTATATGCACATATAGTATATGCACATATGTAAGCATATATATATATATATACACACTTTTGTACAATAATATGCACAGTAGATCTTTCAAAGTATATTTGCTAGGTCAGAAGACATGTATATTTCTCATCTTTACCTGTAAAATGGTTTTCTTTACATTGTTAGTGTTGTGAATTCCTAGAATATTGGTAATTATACTCAAAGCATGAAAATATAGCTCAAACCCAAATATAAATTATTTGTGAATAGAGACAGTAAATATAGTAGGAATATAAAGAGAAAACATCTGAACTTGTTGAAAACAGATTTACATACCTCTATTTCTCCCAAATGTAAAGGTCCTCCTGAGTCTGCAAAGAAATTGAACATACATCTGGTCACTAAAAAACTGAACTTTGAATAGCTTTCTGGACAGTAAGTAAATACAAGGTTTACAAATGAAAAATAAAATCTTACGGTAACAGCGAATATCCATAGCATGAAATTCTCCTTTGTGGTAGAAAATGACCACTTCTCTGTCATGGACAACAGCTGTTATTCTTTCAGATCTTTTAATGTCTTCTTCTCTACCCACATAGACAGAAGCATATTGCTCCTTTGTTTCAGGATCTTGTTCAGAATCATCAGGATCCATGCTAGTGGAACAACAACAAAACCACAAACAAAAAAAAAAGAAAGAAAAAAATTGCAAGTGGTCTTCACTAGTTTCATTACATTTAACTCACAGAGATAATCATAAGAGAAGTTTGATTTCCCTGAGACTGATGGAGGCACTTTTAAAAATAATGGATTATAGTCAGTCATGATTGTAAGTTAGAATTTTTAAAACTTGCCAAAATTAGGGAGGACTGACCACTTTTAGACTGGACTTGTATTTGATTCACTTCATTGCCTAAGGTAGATATTTCAGAACTCCTGACAGATACTAAAGTCTCACTATCCTTTTATTCCCTCTCAAATTCAATGCTAAACAACACCTGCATATTACCAGTGTTGTTTTTAGCTTTGTTGAAGGTAGGATTCTTCGGCAAGGGCCTAACAGAAGCAGAAGAGATTAAGAAGAGGTGGCAAGAATACAAAACAACTGTACAAAAAAGCCCTTAATGACCCAGATAACCACGATGATGTGGTCACTGCCCTAGAGCCAGACATCCTAAACACTGAAGTCAAGTGGGCCTTAGGAAGCATTACTACAAACAAAGCTAGTGGAGGTGACAAAATTCCAGCTAAGCTACTTCAAATCTTAAACCATAATGCTGTTAAAGTGCTGCACTCATTATGCCAGCAAATTTGGAAAACTCAGCAGTGGCCACAGAACTGAAAAAGGTCGGTTTTCATTCTAATCCCAAAGAAAAGCAGTGCCAAAGAATGTTCAAATTACCATACAATAACACTCATTTACACGCCAGCAAGATTTTGGTCAAAATCCTTCAAGCTAGGCTTTAGCAGTACATGAACTGAGAACGTCCAGATGTACAAGCTGGATTTAGAAAAGGCAGAGGAACCAGAGATCAAAAGCTAGGGAATTCCAAAACAACATCTGCTTCATTGACTATGCTAAAGCCTTTGCCTGTGTGGATCACAACAAACTGTGGAATGTTCTTAAAGAGATGGGAATACCAGACCACCTGACCTGCCTCCTAAGGAACCTGTATGCAGGACAAGAAGCAACAGTAAGAAGCAGACATGGAACAATGGACTGGTTCCAAATTGGGAAAGGAATGCGTCAAGGCTGTATATTGTCACCCTGCTTATTTAACTTCTATGCAGAATGAAGTGAAGTCGCT